ATTAATCGCTAATCATTTTTTTTTTTTTACAAAAAATGATTTATTTCAGCAGACATATAAACAGTTATCACCATAAATTCCATGTGGAAGCTATGTACAGTAGAACTGGGCAATTATTAGAATTTGTTAAATGATTATTCTCATGAAACTTGGATTGTTGGGATAATTGAAAATACTAACAATCTGACATGCCAATTTAATTAGTTATTTTCAAGAATGATGACCCTAATCAATTAAGCTGAACAAGTATGACTTATTCAAAGATAATGAGAAATCATAATATGAATATTTTGGTTACTAGGATAGATGGAATAATTGATACAGTAACAATAGGAAACACTAAATTTGACTAGTTCATTATTTTTGCAACATTAATTGACTTAATTGTAGTTTTGATTAATTGAGAGTTTTACGTGACACTAGTTGATGTAATAGGTTCTCATAGGTAATCAATTACTATAAATTAATTAAATAGTTGAGCTACAATGTACAGTAGGGCTCAAAGGGAAAAACTGCTATAACACACCTTTTCTTCTCTCACATTATTCAATATACTGTAGTAACACAACAGGAAAAATTTGGTTACATCCTCTGAATAACAATCACAATTTTCAAACACATTTATCTAATAATTACATTAGACAAGTTTCCCTGCATTAGTGCTCCAGATAAGCCTTGGGCATAATGGGTATTGTACTTCTCGAAATAACTGTAATGCAAAAAAACTTGCATATTTGCATGTTTCACTATAGATTAATATATAATTTATATGTTCCTTTCATTCTCAGTCATCTCAGGTATACTACATCATTATCATCATTTCTACCATTCTAATGTTTGCTGTACACCATAGTAAGAAACTAAATACAGTAAACATTAAAAGTCTTTTGTAGACACACATACACACACACAAAAAATCAATTTTTAATGAAGTATTTTTATTGAAAATTTCTCTGTGGATATATGAAATCAAAGTGTTCACTGCTCCAAGTGCATTTTAATAATCTAAAAATCTCCTAAACAAATTTCAAACGTTTTTTCCCCTAAACCTTTGTATTTTATCTGTTATTTTCTATAACGTAACTCCAAACAGGGTTGGTCAATCTGACCGACCTCGTAACCATCATAAAAAATATTAAATAAATCTAAATTACCCATTTTCTACTGTTATAATGACTTCAAATTGTAACAGGAAACTACATTTGTTTATCCTAAATAGCTTAAAGTTCCTAACAGCACACATCTGTTTCTACTTAAATTTTATTGTTTTATTACCCTTTGAACTTTAATAATCCCACCACACAAGTGGTAAGTCACGTTACCCTATTGAATTAATAACAAATTACATAATGCAAAAGCTGCTGGCACACATACCTTGTGAAAATTTTAATATCATTATTTGTACTTATCTAATCTAACTTAATAAGTTTCTAATTTTTACAATTTAGTTATTTTTATAACAATAAATAATAATACATATGAAAAACAAAAAATATAGTGCTTAAATGAGTCTTTTATTTTGCTGTTGAATGTTGATGAAACTTAACCCTACATATTTTTTATATTAATGGTACTACTACATTAAATTTTTTATTTAATTAAATAATAAACCTATGAACACAGAATAATAACATGTAAAAAGCAGACAATGTCCTATAACTATCATTGCTTTTCTGGCTTTCTAGCTATGCAATAAGTCATTAAAATACCAGCTAGGCTCGTTGATGTGTTTCCCATGGGAATAAAGTTTGAACTGGAATGTAACAGACAATTTTCTGTACAAAAAATAATGTAATATAATATGTGATTTCATAGAGTAAAACTTTGGCTTTCTATTGGTTATCAATAATATATTATAACATGTTGGAGAGAACCATTGGCAATTTGGAGATGATATTACAAGTGGGCATGGGTCTGATTTTCTAGTTTATGGCTCCATAAACAAAAAAGATTGAAAACTATAAAACTTGTTTTGCCTGAATAACTATATTATAATGAGTAATTTATGTTAAATTCCATACTCCTTGGAGAGGTGGTAAATAAATTAGAGAAGAGGGAAGAACTAGAGTGCAAATGTCACAATTATCATATTAGGGGAGATTGAGGATTTTTTTGTAAATGCCTTATCAAATTAAGAACTTAAAACTTGTATAATATTAATATTTGATTTATTAACTATATTTTGATGCCAAGTTTATTCTTATACCATGATAATAAAGCAGTTTAATTAAATTTTAAATGTAACTAAAAAGTCTTGATATGCACACTTTGACCTGCTCATGGTGAGAGAGTTAACCTTTTAATGCTGAAAAGCTTTAATACATTCACTTGCATTAAAAATTTGTATTAACAATAAATTTTATGAACATCTTTTAAACTTCTTAAAGAAAAAGGAAAAGTTTTCCACTGAAAACTTTTTTTTCTGTAGTACAAAATATAGAGGGTTGAATACATTATATTTAAAGAATTTTGAATTGCAAATTAACAAGTCAAATTAGCTGATATGGAACTGCAGTGGAATAACATCCATCAAACCTACATTTTGATATTGTTTGGCATTGTGACACCACTAAAAATGTATAACTTTTCAAAAAGGTGTGTAACAGCACTTTCCACTTCAAAATATTCATACACTCAAGATATGTTCAGGGATTTAGGGTTTCCAAGATGGGAATATCTCTTGTACTTTATTGGAAAACAAAGGAATATGGATCATGATGGAACACCCAGATCACTAAAAAGAAACCCGCAACAAACTGTACCCCAGCCACAGTAAGTAAAGGGCAGCCTCATAACAAATGAGAATCCACAAACACAAAAGTTTGTGGCAACAGTATGCAACATGATCAAGAAGGACCCCCTTCTTGAAATTAGGCCACCAGGGTATGAGTTCACCATGGTATGGCTTCCACTTATACCTCTTACTCAACTGTTGCATACCTCAAGCAGCTGGATAATAAAATGGGTATTCATTATTGTCCATACAAACATATAACAGTCAAGTCTCGTTATGTATTGTCCATGTATTTGTGTAAGATCGGATGTAAAAAAATGGGCAGTGGGAAACTAGAAGGAATGTTTGGATTTGAACATGATAGCATCACAATGGAGCCTTCTGCAATAGACACTACACTGCAGGGCTATTTTACAGATTACATGGTCATTAAACAGATTGATCAGATGTGCCAAAAGGGTGAAAAATAACTGACAGCCCAAGTACCCACTGCTGGTGGTGCTTTTCATGGTTGCATCAGAACATCTGCTGGCTTGTTCCCTCACAATTTAATATAATTCCATTCAGAGATCATATTAATGCAAAATTCTTTGTTATATATAAAGAAAATTTTAAGAAAAGAAAAAAACATAACAGCACTGCATTTCTAAAACAAATCTAACAAGACCTACTGGTTCTAATTCACTCACAAGTTTGAATAAAAAACAAAGGGTATTGAACACATTACAAAAAATAAAAGTACATTTGCTTTGTTCCTTTAGTTTTAAGAGTACCTCAGATTTTGATACTTATGTATCTAATAGGGGAATTATATTGTTAAAAGCTTCAACTGTGAACTAATTTTGAAAATGTAAGTATTTTCTACAGCAATTTTAAGACATTTTTTTTAAACTGACAAACCTCATAATCTTCATCTTCAAAAATTCCACTAGCATCCAGTATCACAAAATCCAAATCATTATCAGAAATAGTAGAGGCAATTCCTTTTTTGGCAGACCATCTAGCAAGGTTCTGGTAAGGAAAAACATTAATGATAATACAATATGAAATAATGTAACATTATCCCTTCAGTTATTTACACTCAACCTTTAGTTTGATTCAACAGTTAAAATAGACTACAAAGAACAAAACAATTTATATTTATAATAGTATATTAATTTTATATATAATATA